TTTTTTTTTACGGTAAGAACAATATTATGTTCTCTAATGCCGTGATCTAGTGAAAAGGCATACAGCTCACGTGTGTTGTTTCCAGCAGTCTGTTAACATTTTTTTTTTAAAAACAAATCGACAATATACCAAACCCAAACGAAATCAAAAAGAAATTTCTAGCAAATGAAATCGTGTTAATAGCTGACAGTAAGTTCCAATAGTTGTTTACGGTGTCAAAGTTCTGGTATGCAGAACTGTATACAAGGAAAAGGCCTTTGTGACGCCCGCAATATTTTGCCTGAATTTCACACATTGTCGATAAACACAGCCATGCATACTAAAATGTTCATATCTATGGCTTGCCCGGGGGAACACTTCAGGGCTGAAATATTGTTCAAATGTTCATATCTATGGCTTGACTGGGGGAACACGTCAAGGCTGAAATATTGTTCAAATGTTCATATCTATGGCTTGACTGGGGGAACACGTCAAGGCTGAAATATTGTTCAAATGTTCATATCTATGGCTTGACTGGGGGAACACGTCAAGGCTGAAATATTGTTCAAATGTTCATATCTATGGCTTGACTGGGGAAACACGTCAAGGCTGAAATATTGTTCAAATATTCATATCTAAGGCTTGACTGGGGGAACACGTCAAGGCTGAAATATTGTTCAAATGTTCATATCTATGGCTTGACTGGGGGAACACGTCAAGGCTGAAATATTGTTCAAATGTTCATATCTATGGCTTGACTGGGGGAACACGTCAAGGCTGAAATATTGTTCAAATGTTCATATCTATGGCTTGACTGGGGGAACACGTCAAGGCTGAAATATTGTTCAAATGTTCATATCTATGGCTTGACTGGGGAACACGTCAAGGCTGAAATATTGTTCAAATGTTCATATCTATGGCTTGACTGGGGAACACGTCAAGTCTGAAATGTTGTTCAAATGTTCATATCTATGGCTTGACTGGGGGAACACTTCAAAGCTGAAATGTTGTTCAGCGCTTTTTCCGATAAAAGATATGGGTGGTGGGTTTAATCGATTACAGTTGTGTCAATTCTTGACCATCAAATGTGTCAGCATGTGTAGACGCCGTAAATCAAAGCCAGTGCAAAAAAACAACAAAATCCAACACTTGCCATTTGTCATTTGTAAACTAACTTGTAATTCGAGGATAAATCGTCTTGCACGCCATTCATTTCAAACACTCTATGACCACCACTCAACCCCTGGGAACCCGTGGGTCTAAATATTGGCCAATATCTTTTAACCAACAACCAATGGCGTGTCATTAACTCGAGTGATACCCCCCCCCCCCAATCCCCGAGTGACACGCCCCATGCGCTTGTGTGTACTTTCCTACTGCTAACCACACCAGACCTGTTAACAGTAATTAGAGTTGTCACACTTCATCACATGATTGAACTACCAGCTTGGGATCATTGAAATCGCGATCCCTGCATACCCCATCCCCCAGTCTTAACAGCGTCTGGTGCCCTGGACAAAGTGATGCACTGAGGCCCCCCCCCCTATTCTCTCTTAACTATTCACGTCATGTAAATGATTTGAAATAGGACCCAGGTTGACCCGCGCATTGTGAGCAGTGTTTGTTTCAAAACATTTCATGACACGGAAGGGAGGGGCAGAGTAGGAAGGTGCTGGCGCTTAGGAAGAAGGGCGTCGGGGGTGGTGGTATCTGTCAGGGCGAAATTCAGGGATAATGTATCACGGGGTCAGCTCTGACTCTGGCACCGCCGCCGTGCAAACAATCTAAATCCGGTTGTGGTGACCCCCCCCCCCCTCCTTGGGGATATGCTACGAAAATTGAGATGGGGTATTTGTCATAATATAACAGCTAACGTTAGTCTTAATTTTACATTTCAGGGATAATTGATCCCGGGGTCAGCTCTGACTCTGGCACCGCCGCCGTGCAAACAATCTAAATCCGGTTGTGGGGGCCCCCCCCCCCCTCCTTGGGGATATGCTACGAAAATTGAGATGGGGTATTTGTCATAATATAACAGCTAACGTTAGTCTTAATTTTACATTCTTTGTTCTACCCCGCATCACACGACCACACACTCCAGTTCTCCAGTCAATATTCACACATTTAAGTTTAGACATTCATGAAAACAACTCACCACGTCCATTTAGACAACATGGCAAACACAGAGGAGAATCAGGTCACTAATTTCAGTCAGTGCACACGACAACACTACTCGTGAGTTAAACAGTCACTTTTAAAGTCGCACGCGTTGTGCGGGGGGATCAGAGTGCCCCTCCCCTCAAAATTTTGGATAAATTCAAAATACAGGGGTGAATTTTGGCGCACATCTGAATTTAGTTTTTCGTCGATTTTAAAACAACAAAAAAATACTAATGGAAATTTAGGTTCCCTTGACCGATTGTGTTTGTAGAAAACTTTCTTTCTGTCGTTTCTTAATTGTATTTTTTAAAATAATTTTTAATTCAAACTTTTTATTTAGTTTACACTACTAAATTAATAACAGATTTTTTTTTTTTTTAAGTTTCACTAAAAACAAATGTAGGTCACAATAAAAAGGTCTCCAAACAACATTATAGGCCTGCATGTTAGGTAACAAAATTTTACATGTTGAAAGATAAAAAACTTTACTATAATAATGACCTTTTTGCATTTAAATTCAAATTGATTTTTTTCAAAATTTACAGGTAAAACAAATACTGTTTTGTAGAAAATATAAATAGACTTTAATGGCTATTTAATACTGTTGTTTTTTTTATAATAAATTGTATAGAAAAAGCAAAAAAGGTCTCTGGTGTACTTACTACTCGCCCCGCCCCCAACCAAAAAAAAAATCTGAATGTTTTAAATTTTAAAATTTACGAATTTTTCTTGAATTCCCCCAAAAACGGAATTGTTATGGTAATAAAAAAATTGTTTTAAAAAACTTGGGGAAAGAAATGTGCACTGCATTTTAAAAGCAAATTAAAAATGCCTTAAGACCTTTCATTATTTATAAAACTATGGGCAACTTGATGCCCCTAGAAGCGTGAGGCCCTGGCAACTGCCCAGTGTCACCTTGCCTTAAGACGGCACTACTCCCTCCCCACCCCATTTTTCCCGCAACCCAACAAATATACCCTGTATTTTTGGGGGAAATGTCCTGTCTTTCGACTCAAGCTTCCACCCTACCTTGTTCTACTATTTCCTTGTGTTTAAACATTTTTTAAAAAATATTGAATTATGATTTGAGATCACCGATTTGAATTGAATTTACTTTTCATTAAATAAAACAGCGGCCGTATGAGCGCATACCGTCACAAAAAAGCGAAAATTGAATGAAGACTTTAGTTCATTTTCTATGCATCTAAATGTCAATGATTACAAACCCCATGGTTAAAGTGACTTAAGTCTTTACCCAGGCATACAACTTAAAAGTAGATTTGCATATTAAGAATTTCTTGTTTTCGACTTTTTATACTTTTTTGTGAATTTTAACTCGTCTTTAATAGACTTTAAAAAAAAAATAGTGGTTAATATTTTTTTTTAAAAAGCATCTGAAATCTAAACCTCCGTCACGCATGGACAGACCAGGTCACACGGGCCAGGGGGGTTTCATCAGTAACTGCGCTGGGTGTGTGTGAATAGGTCACGTGGGTACCAGTGTGTAGTTGTCCTGTCAGTCAAGTGAACTATCAAGATATAAGAACTATCCAGAAATGAAAAAGGGGGGGGGGGATATAAATGACTTAACACGTTATATAAAGTGTTATCCTATTTTATTGCAGTGTCTTGGACAAGAGGGGGAAAAATAAATAGCTACAAACTTAAAATGAATTGCTCTCATGCTTGTGTTTTGGGGGGAGGTGGTTGGTTGACACCCTGGCCTCAATAGAAAACTCAAACAGACACGTGCAAAGTTGGTGGGGTGGAGAATAGAGCAGGTTTAATTTTTTTTTTTTTTTTTTTTTTTTTTGGGGGGGGGGGGTTGTGACTGACCTAATTACCAAGGCATCTTATTCACAATGATCCAAAATAAACCCACGATCAACAATCAATAATATACTTAATTTCTCTCAACATCTGAAATGTACGGGACACAAAGCCATTTTTCTTCTCTGGTAATTTAAAGAAAATGTTCCTTCACATGAATCATTCTCTTCGCATAATACTGTTCTCTTCACAAAGTTAATTAACTGACTCTTATCCTTAGTTAAATTTTAGGTTTTTAACTTTATAAGTATTTTAAATCGGTTATTTGACGTGTAAATTAATTATGAATTGCTAATCTTAATAACGTTTAAGTAACGTCATATTTTTTTTTTAAAGAAATGGGAGATAATCCTAGCACCTGTTGACAATCTTACGCACTCCACACTCTCCATTTAGAGTAAAAATTTTTAATGAAAATAACGTTTAATTTAATTACTTCTTTAAAACATGAAGTTTTAAAACTGCTTATTTTTTTAAAATTGTCAGCTGTAAATTACATTTAGAGATCATGAAACGTACTCATTAATCACTACAGTTTGGAATAACTGAAAGACTATAATTTATAAATAACAAGAGGCTTTGTTTGCTTCACTTAAAATCTCTTAAAGTTTTAACTTGAATCCATTTATTTCTCTTATTTACGACCGAGAGGCTTCAGTAAAAAGTTGGGTGAATCATTTTTTTAGGATCCAGTATGTATGAGTGTTTTTTATAATTTAAAAATACGTTGTTTCAATTCTAAAAATAAAACATAAGTAGTTTCCCCTTGCTCACGTGTGACGTCGCCAGGTACAAAATTGATCACGGAAGTGAACAATGGAACAAGGCTTAACAATCACAGTTGTTGAGAGATAGCCGAACTTGCAGGTGAATAATTTTTTCATATTTATTTAATAATAAGTGCATGTAAATTCCATTCTTTACTCAGTTCGTGCGAGTTTTCACACCCAGTCTCGTTACCGTAGATTCTTGCACACACTTTTACTGCTAGAAGTTTACCCTAAAGTTCTTATCGTTCATTTGTGTCCCAGTTTACCTACGGCGGGATGCCATTTTGTCACCCTGTGTCGCACTGTGGTTAGATCCTGTCGCCGAAAACATTTGATGGTGCATTAGGTTTGAAGTTTGATTTTTTTTAAAAAAATAAGTTTGATTAGAATTTTTAAGAGTGACTTGGCATATTAATGTGAGTTTTTCTAATAAAGAACTGCAGAGTTTTCACTTTGTTGTGATGAAAACTCGTAGTTTTAGAAGAATCTTTATAATTTGAATGGAAACGGAATGGGTCATTTCCTGGTTCGGCGTCCCCATGTTCTTTCCTATCGATAACTCCTAGTGACATAGATTTTAACAGGTACACATCAATCAAATACCTGTGTGAATGTTAGGTAAACTTTTCAATCAAAATCAAAATTTTGAACATTTGTAATCCATAATGATTAATGCAACAAATTTCCCCAAGAAACCACAGGCCAGCCTAAATCTAAAAGAAATGTTCTTTCATTTTCATGACATTAAAATGATTAAAAGTTTACAGCAGAACATTGATAGTAGACCTATAACTGGTTTAGTCTATTAAATACACTATTGCCTTTGTAAATTTTATCATGTGATTAGTCTTAGTCTTACTTAGAATTACAAATCAGTCCTCGATTCGTCCAGATTAATTCATGAAGTGTTAAAGAATTTAGGAAAAATTTATTTTGAGAAAGTGAAAAACTTCTTTCAGTTTCAGGCCTCATTTACTAGCAGTTTTCAGTAATTTATTACACTATTTACAGAATAGACCTCAACTAAGGCCTAGTAGTAGTCAATATAAATATAATTCATGGATGCTCCATGTACCATCAGTGATTTCCTCCATGTGGTATGAAAAGCTCAATTGACTTGACTTTTTTTCTATTTATTTAAAATAAGTTTTTTTCTATTACAATTTATTTATATATATATATATATGTATATATATATATATATATATATACATATATATAATGCAAATATATGATTTATCTATCAGATTAAATCAATTGTTTTTAACTATGACTCACTTATTGATTGTTTTTTTTTATATTTATATAAAATAAGTTTTTTTCTATTACAATTTATATATATATATATATATATATATATATATATATATATATATATATACATATATATAATGCAAATAGATGATTTATCTATCAGATTAAATCAATTGTTTTTAACTATGACTCACTTATTGATTGTGTAAGAATTCTCCCATGTCTGTCAAAGTAATCAAGTCCTGTTTAATAGGTCTGTCCTCATTTTAGCTGAAAGTTTCATACAAAAGTGTTCAAATAAATGATAAAGCCAACCATTTATCTTTTACAATACCAAAAGTACAAGAAACCTGAAATATGCTATTAAAATATTTTAATATCATCATCATAGTTCCTCTGAGTTCCTTTAGAAAATAGGGTCTCTGTTAAAGCACACCACTTTTCTCAGTCTCTTGCCTGTATTTTTAGTTCTTCCCAGCTCTGTTCTCTCAGCCTCATCCAGCACACTGCTGCTCATGTTCTGTTGGGTCTTCCTCTTTGTCGTTTACCCTGGGAGTTTCACTCTAAGGACTGTCTAACTCTGTTGTTGGTGTCTTTCCTGAAGTGCATCCTATCCGTCTCCATTGTCTGTCTTTCCTTGATTTGTTTCTCTGTTGCATTCTATCCACAGCTTGATATGTTCCGCCCACACATCTCCCACAGCTTGATGTTTTAAACCTTATCATACCATTGTATTTTCAGTATGTCCTGTTTGTTGTAGTTTTTGTTGTTCTCCATGTTTCAAGCCCATACAACAGGACTGCTTTCACATTGGAGTTAGAAATTCTTATTTTAGTTTTGTTTGAGATGTAGGAAGATTTCCTAACTGCTTTTAGGTCGGCCGGAAACCTTGCTTGGTATGGAAAGTAAGGCAATTCATGACCAGTTCTCACATTGGGATAAGTCTCAGCTCTTTGGTGTTTTTATCTATAGATATTCAGTAGAAAGGATTTCTATTGACCAAATTTTGATAAACATACTGTGAAGTTTAACTATTTCAACCGTTTCATCTGTTAGGACCTGAGTTGGTATATTGCCTGCTACTTTGACTACATCAGGGGTTATAATGTCTACACCTGCTATTTTGACTACCGTAGTTGGTGTATTGTCTATGCCTGCTACTTTGTCTTTATTTGATCAGAGCTCCTTCCATATTTCTTCTTTGGCCATCTTTATGTCCAGTGTTGTTCTTCTGCTTAGGTCAGGTGGTTTTAGGGGGGTAAGTCTGTTTAGCACTTCTTGAAAATATGCCTCCTCTCTTCCAAGTTAGTCGTCTTTGGTCGTAAATATTTTAACATGAACTTGATGAAATAGTTACTGTACTTTCAAAGCATTGCTTCTTTTGAGGCACTAAACATTTCATTTGAGTTATATATAGTTTTCCTTAGCCCATTAAAAAAATTCATTGATTTTAAAATCTGCTGGTAGTATCTTTAACATTGGCTTGTTAATTGTTACAATAACAATGTGATATTGTTTTGGATGTTTTCAGCAAGACACATATCATTTTGAGGAGAACTCTGAAGCTCTGCTCTCATCAGAGTCCAGCAGAAGTAGTAGTATTATCATGACTGAGAATGGCCCCCCTGGGTCACAGGGCCCACCTCAGATTACACGACCCACTGAAAACAAAACTCGAATCCCACGCCCTATGTTGTGCAAAATTTTACTACTCAATGGTGAAGAATATGAAGTTGCCATCGATGTAAGTGTCAGAATAACTTGAGCATACTCAAACAATAACTGTTCTCTAAAGTTCTATTCGAATGTGTGCTTGTGCTTTCTTTTTTTTTTAAATCTTTGTGCAGTTCTAAATCAGCCTAACTAATAATTCATAGACTTACTTATTTTATCTTATTTTTGACCCAGTCATTCGTTTATCTTCTGCAGTGTAAACTTTGGTCATTTTATTGTAAAAAAGAAAGACTATTTATATTTATTTTTTTTTAAATCCTCTTGTTTTAAACAAAATATTTTTTCAAATGTTTCTAATAAAAATTGTTTTTAACAAATATTGTAAATTTATCAGAAGCTATTGATAACAAAAGGTGATTGTTTTGATGATGTTTTTATGTGTCCATTCTAGAAAAGATCTATTGGTCAGCTGTTATACGAAAGGGTCTGTGATTATCTGGACTTGCTAGAAAGAGACTATTTTGGTCTGCAGTACAAAGAAGACCTGGATGTTGAGAATGTTAAGGTAAATAAGATATTTATAGTTGTGCATAAATTAATAATACTTTTAGTACAGAATTAACTGAAGCATTATATCCTACTCAAAGAAATAAATTGCCAAACAATGGTGGTGGAAATATGTGACTTTCTCATCTACTAAAGTTACTTGACAAATCTTGCATTCAAGTAACACACTTTTATAAGAATCCCAATCAGTGCTACTGTCTTGGAATTTTATTCTGCCTCCCTTTTGATCACATTGTTACAATCGTACATACCTATTTAGAGAATAATTCTTTGTGAAAATGTAATGGGGGTGGGGGATGATTTAGCCTGTTCAAGTTATCTGCCATTGTTTCCCTTTTCTTTTGGTCAGCTCTTAACTCCTTTTTATTTGTCCTCTGTGTCATGTATTGTATTGTAATTTATTTTATCTCTAAATAGTTATAGCAATAAAGAATAAATTTTGTGTTGGAATTATTTTTTATTTGACACTAGTAATCTGTTTACTTAATTTTATCAATCACCTCAAAAAAATCTTGTTAGCATTTATTCAAATAATTTGTCTGAAAATATTTGCAAATATCATAACTGCATTTTCTTTTTTCTTCCAAGTTTTGGTTGGACTTAACTAAGAAAATTACAAAGCAGAAGAAACGTAAGTAAATTTGTAGTATCTCCATATTTTACAGAATTATAATGTGAACCCCTGTTTGTTTAAAACAAGCCTTTAAATGCCATGTCCACGTACAATGCGATATGTAAATCTTGTTCCATAACAAGACTTTTCCCCCCTGCAACAGTAATACATAGTTATAAAACAGTAAACTTAAAAACTTTGTCAAAATGGATATTTATTTCCCAGGGTTTAAATTCAATGCTTCCTCTTACAAGAGCTAGCAGGATTAACCGATAAATATGATTAGTTACATCTAAATTGCAATTGAATTTATCAATCAAGTCCATTTTCATAAAAATGTTCATCTTTGTAACAACTAAAGTTATTTTCATTTAAAAGGTTTGATTTATAATTTAGAGGAAAGCATTCATATATTGCTCATGTTGCTGTGTTAAAAATTAAGGTTCATTTTTACCCCAAATTTATCACATTCTTTGTGTTATACAGTATGTCATTTTTATAAAAGCAAGATGGTGGCCTGGTTTTGATGGCCTATTTTGTTAGTTTGCCAAGGGCTTTGAGGGAGGGTAGAACCAACACCTTCCGGTCGAACCCATCAAAAAATTAATAAAAATGGAATATTTGTTTTCTTTAAAATATGTTGTTAGGACCTCTAATACTGTAAAAATTATTAAATTATGTAACAATTTTTAATCTTGTGTATATTTAAAAGGAGGAAAGATGGAGTTTGAATTTGCCTTAAAGTTTTACCCACCTGACCCAACCCAGCTCACAGAAAGTTTAACCAGGTACATAAAATGTTTTCAAGCATACTTAAAAATTGTTCGCCTTGTTCGATTATGAGCACATTTGAACTGTAAACTATTTGAAAGAGAAGTAAAATGTAACTATTTTACTTTACCACGTTACGGTCCTGTCGTAGCCATTATCAAGATGATAGTCTGATATGATTTCTTATGCATTATTTTTGTATGTGGGCAGTTTTAAAGCATTTAACATGTTATCCTTTTTTAAATACTTTAACAGAAATTTAATTATTTATTATAACCCTTTTTCTCCAGATATCTAGTTTGTTTACAAATCAGAAGAGACATAATCAGTGGAAAGTGAGTAGTTTTGGTTTTCTTTTGGGGTTCATTTTAATTGTAAATACAACTAACTTTGACTGTAAATCTTTACTTAAGTGGCGTTGAATTTTGTCATCCTTCTTGACTAATGACAAAAATCATTCATTATCAGTCTGTTAGAGCACCCCATTTCCATGTATAACTGTTTAGCTGTACTGATGTGTTTTGTTTTTTTTTTAAGACTGCCATGTTCACAGGCCACCCATGCCATGTTGGGATCATATGCTGTGCAAGCTGATATTGGTGACTATGACCCAGTGGACCATGGTACAGGTATTGACTATATCAGAGATATGCCTTTTGCACCTGATCAAACAGAAGACTTACTTCACAGGATTGCTGCTTTACACAGACAACACAAGTAATTTTTTTTTATGACATAACTTTTGTAAATCAGAAAACTAGTTTACACCTTACTTTTTTAATTTTCTATATTTGAAATTTAAAATATTTTATTAAATTTATTTCATAAGGTTAAAATTTAGACTGTCCATCCTTTTTAATGTACATAGTTAAAATAATTAAATAACTAAATACTAGAAAAATTTTGCATAGTTGACCCTGCTTTTTTTTAACAATGCTTTGTAAAGTAATTATTTAGTTTCTATGTTAATAGTACTAAAGGATATTATATGAAAGAGTGCGTTTTTCAAGCCGCATGAAAGAAATAGTAGAACAAGATGTGTGTAGGGTTGAAATGAAAAGACAGGACAATTAATAGGATGTTTCGGCTAGAAAAGCCTTCTTCAGCAGACGATACAAATGAAGACACAAAGAGATAATTTTAAAATGGAATATCGAAAACTTGTGTGTTATAAGAAATGAATGAAGTCAATGAAGATCTCTATGGTTAGAACTGGAAGCGCTCTATTACTAAACAATCTTCTGTTTAGAATTTAGTTTTATACTTGGAAACAATTTAAAATTGAAAAGGCAATATGAAAACAGTCATCCAATTAAAATACAGTAAATACATTTGACGCAACAAGAAAAATCTGTTAACACGAAATAATAATGCAGTCTCAAGTATATTTTTTTTTGTATGCATCGTTTAACACAAAGAAATATTTTGTTTCCCTCAGTTTCGTGTTAAATGATTTTTACTGTAGTCGTAAATAATTAAAATTTTAAAATCATTCTTAAAATTGTTTTAAGTGCTTTATTATCTAAGAAAGCGCAATAACTTGTATGTGGTTGTTTTATTTTATTTAAAGAACTAATAAAGGGTTGCATTTTTCAAATTTGTTCTCTTCTACCCAGAGGACAAACTCCTGAACAAGCAGAGTTGCATTACTTGGAATACAGCAAGAAAATAGCTCTTTATGGCATTGATCTACACAGAGCAAAAGTTAGTGCTTTTAAAATACATTGAAATATTGGTCTGAAATCTATCTCGGTCGTTAACACGTGTCATTTGTAACATGGCAAGTGTTGTCCAATTATTTCTACACACATAAATGTTTCATATCTGATATCATAAATTAGAATTAGAGTATAATGTATTTACTCAACTAATAAATATGTTTCATCTCAAATAAATGTTGGGTATTTCATGAATAACATTTTAAGTTTTTAAATATTAAATCCTACATGATTTATAGGACTCTGATTATGTGGACATTCTCCTGGGTGTAGGAGCCACTGGTATATCTGTGTATAGAGACAATTTGCGGATCAATCGATTTGTCTGGCCTAAGATTCTCAAAATCTCTTACAGAAGGAACAAATTTTTATTGAGGATTCGACCTGCTGAGGTAAAATCAAAATTTTCCCCAAATTTAAATTTAAAAAGTATTGGATCCAGATAACTGTTACTTTTTTTCCTTGTTGATATTTTAATCTGTTACTTGCAGGTTTATTAGAAATTCATTTCATAAATTCATTAGCAAATACCATTCTAGTAGCTTTATTTCAAGAACTGTCTCAATCAATTGAAGAATTGAACCTTTTTTTTTTTAAATTAAAAGTATATAATACGGAGACGTGAATGATTCATCACTAGTTCCCCTAAAGGTAAAATGAATTTAGAAATGCTGCCATTAACGGGGTTACCCTAAACACATATAATACCAGCCGTAAGTTCTACCTAAATCTTAACTTGTTGGCTTTTTTTTGTGTTAGTTTGAGACTTATGAGAGCTGGATTGCATTCAGACTTCCCAATAATAAAATGGCCAAGCGTATTTGGAAAATTGCAGTTGAACATCACGCTTTCCTACGGTAAGGAGCTGTATTGTTTTGTATTGTTTTTGTCTTGTTTTTTAAAATGGATTTTGAAATATAAAGCCATATTTTAATATAGGATTCATATGCTTTTATTATTATTTCCTCTCTAAGGTTGTTTCAATCTCTGGTGTATTCACTGAACAAAATTTAGGGACTAATAATTTATTAATTTGTCATTGCACAACAACTTTTTTGCTCTAGCTTACGGTCAGCTGATGATGCTAGAAAGAGAACGGGCTTCCCGAGGTTTGGCTCTAAGTATCGCTACTCAGGTCGTACATTGTACCAGACTCGCCTCAATGCATCAATGGCAGATAGACCCTCTAAGCAGTTTGAGAGGACACACAGCAGACAGTCCCTAAACTCAGTTTTAAATAACAACAGATCTAGGAGCCAAGACAATTGTAAGTCTGAAAAATGTGTATTCTTTTAAGTTAAATTTATCTGCGACTTTACTGTCAACTACTTGTGCACTCATCGCATCATGAACCACATTGAGAGTTTGAATAGTACATTTTAAAAATTATTGTAAATTATTGCCTACAGTTGACATATCACATTTCATTAAATCTCCTTACACACAATAAGAAAGTGATCCTTAGTGTTACATATTTCTTTCATCTAGTGAATCACAGAAGAGAACCATTTTTTGAGCATCCCAGGATAGATATCCATGACTTGAGTTTTGACTCTGTACGTGAGGACCGGGACAGGGGTCGCGCAGAGGAAAGAAGTCGTGTAGTTCTCTCAAGAGTTAATGAGGATTCAATGCAAGAAGACAGCTCCTTCACTCAAGAAGACAGGACACCTCTCCAGTCCCCACTACCACAAATTGAATCTCCTAAACTTATCACCCGACAAATCATTAGACAGCCAGGTCAGCTATTTTTAATCACTATCAGGTTTTAGATAACTGAACTGACCTTAAAATGAATATTATAATGCAAGTAAGTGATCTGATATTGAACATCTCTGCTCCTTTCCTTTTTAAACAAATGTACATAGTATCATCTTGTAGCATTAAAAGCTGACTATGTTATGAATTTAGTGCTAATGCAATCATGACTAATTCACTTGTCTTGTAGCCTGGGAATTTTATCTGCCGCTAATTTAAACTCTATGCAAAGCCATTTGTTTGTACTTTATTCAGTATCCTATATTTAAGTATTTTGAGGGTAAAAAATGATTTTATCAATTCTGTATTTATTTGAACACGAAATTTCAATAGTGAAAGCTGTTGAGGATGACGACCTCGATGACAGACTACCGACCGTTCCCAAGGACTCACCTCAAGAAGAGAGAAGAACGTTAAATAGAGGTTCACCCAGGGGAGACAGAAGGCCAGTATCTAATCATGCCCACCTCGGGGGTGTTGCCACACCTTTGGCAGCGGTCACCATTAGAAGGAGAAATTCTGAGAGTGAAGGCTCTTCCAGGTCGTCCAGCAGAAGTAGAAGCTCAGAGGGAAGCTTGGAGTCAGAAGATAGGAGGCAGGAGTCTAAGGTGGAGATCGCCAAGCCTAAGGGAAAGCCTGAAGTTGCCCCTAAACCAACAGTGGCACCTAAGCCGGGCAAAGAAAAACCTCCATTGGCTAAAGTGAGCATAAAATTGTGCAAGCAAAGTTTGTAATTTGTCCTGAACATAGATTTTTTGTGTTAACTTCATTATGTTACAAAATGATATTGTTATATTTCATTCCCATATTTATTTCTTACAGAAACCAGAAAAGCCTGCACCGCCTGAAAAATCTTCAAAGCTGTCAAAGAAAGAAAAAGAGAATGATACGAAGAAAGAAAAGGAAGCAAAGAAAGAAAAGGAGAGTAAAAAGGATGTCAAGAAGGACACAAAGAAAGTTAAAGATTCCAAGAAGGAGAAAGAAGCAGTAAGGGAAGTTTTCATGTAGCAAAATGTTTAATCTCATACTGAAGAAAGCGAACATCAATTTTTTAAGGACATTGCCAAGGTTTGACAGAGCACTTTATAAATCATGTCAAAATGCAGAAACCGACCAGCATATTCCTAATCATAAGTGATTTTTGCTGTTGTATATTTGACTAGCATTTGAGCATTGATAATTGGTTGATTATAGCCATGTGTATCAACATTCTCCTCTTAGGGTTTTTATCTTACAAAAGGTTTAGCATATTTATGTTGGCTAAATGAATGTTTTTATGCACTCTATTGTACATTAATGAAACGGGGCAGTCCAACTGTAGAGATTACACAATTAAGGATATTACTGTTTCTACTCTTTTTATGCGCACTATTATTAGTGTTACAGCCTTATGTTGCATCAGTAATTTTCAATGTCCTATTAGTTTTAAACTTTCACTCTGTGGTTTTAAAAGATATAGAATTTTTAAGGTCAGTTGCATTAACGTGTACACAATTGAAAACATTTTCAAGAGATATATAATGGTAATATTTCATCTGGCAAATTAATGTATGGTTTTATTTAAAAGTTTCATTTAAACTTGTATTAATAAATTCATTTATTTGTAAAATTTCAATCATGTTTAACATTGGTTAAGGCTGAATTTTTAAAATGTGATTAACATCAATGTTTTTGTTGATAACATTTCATGGGAAATTGTATCTTTTTTAATTTTTTAAGAGCAAATGTTTTTAATTTTGGAAATGTAACATCTGAATTTTAGCAGCATGGCTTATTTGCTCCCATGTATTTGTCCCTGACAAGCACATTTTTAAATATCTAGAGCTACAATATACAACTCATTAGTTTCACAATTAGTTATCCACTCTCTCTCATTTCATTTACAATCTTAATTTCAGTTATACAGTACAAGGTTTTATTCTCTTTTAAAATTGCACATTAGCTATGTGATTAGTGTTATAGTTGAAATTCCTCTAACATTATTATAGTATAGCACTCTCATTTTTTTTTAATCTTGTAAATATTGTGAGGTTAGTCCCTATTGATTATTAATCATTTCAAACTGTAAGCGATATCATCCTGTAACATACAAATGTTTTATGTTGTAAAATTCCAGAATGTTGTTGTATTTTAATACATTCCAATTATTGTTTACAATTAACACGGCATAGTACATCACATTTGTATAATATACATGTAAATAAGCAGCATTTTTTTCATGAATTTGTTTCACCTGCCATGAAGACATATCCATCTTGTATTTTTTTAAACATTATTAAGAAGCAATACATCTCTCATGCATTCCTATTTCTCGAAAATAAAATTAATATTTGCAAAGTTAAATACAAACTAAATTTTATTTGTTTTTGGACATTTTGTCATGTTATTGGCCTTTTTAAAATGTTCTTACCTGACCAAAAAAAGCTTTGTAAAGATTTGATGCACTTGAAACCAACAGCCCAAACTTGTGCATGTGAACTTAACCCTGGATGTAATCATAATAGCTGGTCAGCCAGTCAAGCTCAGGTATTTAAAAAAAAAACAAAGCAAAGATATATATACATGTGGATTATTCAGCTCAATTTAGTAAATTATAATGTGTGTATATTTTAATGATCAGTGCAACTGCCCTTTCAGGTTAAACATTCTAAAAGTAACTTACTTAGAATCGGATTTAGCGCAGGATTAAATTATCATTAATTAATTTATTGAACAGCAACCTGTGGATAGTTTATCAAATTAATTTTTAAAGTAAACAAAATGTCTGCCTGCCTTATTGTATTCAAGTATGACTAATCTGACTAGCATGTTTGCAAATGAGAAAAAGACAGATTAGCCTAATGTTATAAGATTGTAATTGTATACCTCTGTCTTATATTGAAACAGTTTTTTTTATCACACCAAGCCGTAAGGATACCCTGTGCTTGTTTTTATACTTCATATACCTGAATGTTATGTACTATATTCATATTTCATGAATTTAAAGCCTTTAAATGAGCAATGCATAAATTTTATTAAATACAAGCAAAATAAAATGCTCCCATATTATTTATGAGTTTTAAATATTGATTAATTGCACTGACAATTGATTTATAAGACATGACGGAAGATATTTACCATGTATTGGATTTATTCTATAAAAAGCATACAAATTTCTTGAAAGACAAAAATGAGGGAAAATGCTCTAAACTTTGCACATGAGTGGCTAATAAGGAGGAGATTAGTTGTATTGTTAGAACAGAACATAGCTTTCAAGAACTAATAGTAGTTGTATATAATTTCAATCAAAATAAACCCAAGCAATCGGCACTGTCAACAATTCTTACACCATTTGTCATCCACTCACGTTGTCATGTATTTGTCAGGTTACTATTCCAACAACGAAAAAAAAATCAAGTTTCCTTTATGGTTGATTTGAACAGACAATAAACATAACTTAAACACACCGAGGTACAGTCTACATCAAATGAATGATCAAAGGGATTTTTTTTTAAAAACAAATGAAATTATTATAACTTTATACATCTACTTTAATTGATGAGCACATGAATTTTGGTGTGCAGAACAATGAAAGCCCAGACAAGTTAACTCATTTTCAGATGCTTATCTTAACTTTAGAAATCCGTGCCTGTTGATTTCTAAAGTTCCATAGTGTTAGATTGGATTGTTTTGGGCGGGGGGGGGGGGGTCTCGAAGTAGTCAATAATTCAATGTATATCTTATAAGGAATCTTGAAAACTAACAACTTAAAACAAAATATATCAAATTCAAACTGTTTGTCTTGTATTTAAAATAATTTGAGCTAAGCCATCTTTGCTTATCATTACTTACATTTTCACAAGTTCTGCGTGATCCTTGGAAAATGCAAGTATTCAGAGATCCCTTTATTTAATTTTATACAAATGATTACAGTAACCTTAGTCATCATATTACTCTTATTTTTTTTGTGGTGTTACAATTAATAAATACATCATTGAAAGTTAAATATTTAACGTTTCTCGTGGGATATTGGATATTTGTTTATTAGTCTAACACAAAGTTCGTGTTCACCCAGTTGGAATATTTTCTATTGCACACTGGAGTTCATCCTCCAAATCAGAAACAAGGGAAGAGTAGAGCAATGAAATGGGCTGGGATGACCCATCATGATTTCCAAATTTGTGGTTTGAAGGCTCGCCATAACTGGCTTCTCGTTTATAATGGGGTTTAGAATATGTACACGTCCCAGTGTTACAATAGCAGGAGGTTGAACCGGTGATGAAAGTCGGAGACGGACACCTTTCCCCCGGGGACACTGCTGAGTAAACTCCGGAGCTGGCATCTGAAACAGGGGACGGGCTGGAGTTCACAAAAGGAGATTTCATACTTACGAAGAAATCAACGGTGTCTTGAATAGATAAATCGGTGATGTCATCAACACAGCTAGACGATGGAGGGGAAGGCAATGAACTTTCACTGTCCATGTACGAGGAGTCTAATTTGTTCATCTCGTGCACCATCGACAAAGGAGTGTTTGAGAATGGCTGCCGTCTAACAGCAGGAAGGTCGCTGTAATCGTAATATGAGGGACTCGAACACCGGTAGCGCTCGGGAGATCGGTATAATCCCCCATTCGTACGGGTGTAGCTGTAGTTCGGGACCGTGTAAGGCGCATACCTGCCAGATGTCGATAAGGAAGACTGCATGATGACAGGTTGATACCGCGGCGATGTTGCAAACAAAAACGGGGATAGCATTTGCTGGGCATGTGATGTGGAGAAACCCAAGGCCTCCATTCTGGACATGAGGCTCGCCCGTCGTCTGCAACTGTCACAAGCGCAGCTTTGAGACCCCATCATAAGCATCTGGGCAGCGCTTCGAGAAAGAGTTTTCTTAGTGTCAAAACTGCTCGCGTGGCCACTAATAGAACTGCTGGAAAGCATTGGCGACGGAGTGATGTTTGCTAGGAGGCGTCTTGGGGGCAAAGAAAGGTGGCGATGCCGTGCTCGGGGTGTGAGAGAGACATCCTCCCTTGAGGTAGTGCTGTAGTTTTTTATTGGAACGTTGTCGTTCAGATTAGGACATCTACTCACGCCAAGACTGATGTGCGATGGCGGGATCCCACTTTTGAAGCAGTTGCTGTCAGTTGCCGTTCCGGGGCCATGGCCATTTGAAGAATCGGAAGTGTTCCTATGAAAATTGCTGGTACTGATTATATTGCTATTTTCTTTGCTACTGTAACATGCGATCCGTTTTAGCACCGACGCGCTATTCGTACTACCTAGAACAAGCGAACCGGGACTCTTGCTATCTTTGCATTTAAAACTACCACCTTTGGTTGCACTCTTCTGTTTTCTCCGGTCGCTGTTATCCGGAACACGAAATCCTTCGTGCATTGTGTTCAAATCACCACAAAGGCATGGCTCTTTTCTGCAGTTTTTACACCTCAAAACACATTTACTACTCGAGCAGCCAGCACCATTTCTATTCGTGCTCGCCTGTCCACATTTTGACTCCCCGTCCTTCATGACAGGCGCTGTCGCCATTGCAATGTTGACAGTCGTTCCCACGCTTGGGTTGGCCTTGATCAAAGTCTGCTTCCCAAACATGCCAACCCCCCATTGTTGTCTCATCTCCTCTGGCAGCAGAGCACTCGGACTGAGATTATAGCCCAAGCCTTTACATTTACAATCGGATGGCTTCTTCCGGGAAGTTTTTTTAATGGTATAATCGGCGATTGGGTTTTCGTCCGAGAAGACCGACGGCAGAAATGGGTCGCCGCGTTTCATCGGGCTTGTCGTGTTCGAGCTGGTCCCTTTCGCGTTCTTCTTATCCCAGGTCTTTGATTTTGGGGCACTTTTTACTTTTTCCTCGATGCCGAGAAAACCATTCGCTGTGAGAAGCGGGACTGGTGAGACCTCGATGTCAAGAACATCATTGGGGCGGACGATCGATGCTTTTAGCGATGAATCGTCGTCATCATCACAAAACATCCTTTTCTAAGCTGCCCGGTGCCTGAATGGAAACAAAACAAACGGTGTGAACTTTCAAAACATTGGACCTTATCATCCCATGTTAACTAAATCTACGTGTGTTACATTTGGAAAATAAAAATAAACGAAATAACACATGCGCGTACGCAAGGACACATGGCCGTGGGTTTGTGATGGAGGAATATGGATACTTGTATAGTAAGGAGCTCATGCTTGCATACATTTTTTAAACTGCTGCGTACTGACAAAATACCATCAATTGTTGATAAGTTGTTACTAAGTCTTGAAAGTTACTTTAAGATCCATGTTTTAAATGCAAATATTTTATATTCAAAGTAGGCCTATACATTTAGGGCTAACATTTATTTTTTGTGAGAAAAAAAGCAAGCATAAAAATATTTTAATCGATACAAAATAAATAAACTAAAACAATATACATGATGACTTAAAATGACTTCATTAATGTTTGTTCCAGTTCTTATTTCGAAGTTTGTCAAAATTATTTATACATTCTGCATTCATTTTTAGTATTTTTTATTTTTTTTTTAAATTTCACTCAAATAGATAGGGATAGTCTATATGAACAGCAGTATAAAATATTTGTCATAAATTTAAATTATGTTGAGACTGGCATTAATATTATGATTCAATAATTCATCATTTTATCTTTTAAATCTTGGAAAACAGCAGGTGGATTCTGGGTCCTTAGCACGAGATTAGTATTATTATATTAAATTTTTTATTAGAAGAAAAATATAAAATGAAATAAATTTAATATTAACATTGTGAGATTGTACGCCATTTGGGTTTTTTTTTACAGGGACATGCAGACGCAATGGAGGTAAGAGAGTTATTAAAAAATATATTTTTATCCGTGACCCCAGGGTCAATCCAGTATGAATAACCGTCATCTGCATAGCGTAACCTCAATTCATAAAATTTAAAATACACACAATATTACATGACCGTTGTATCTCTTACGATTTGAGAATACCTGATAAGAAAAGCCATCCTGGTCTAAGCTTCCAAAACCTCTCCCGTGCTGAAAGAAACAGAACACACTCGTTACAGCGATCTACTCAGTTCAATGAAAGAACCTGCATTTGCTATTAGCAGTGCTGCAAACTGGTGCAATTTGGTGCGTTTATAAAAAAAAATGCGCACGGCGCAGCATAGTTTGCAACCAATAGGTTGTATTTATATGGCTTTATGTAAATTAAAAACAATACAAGATAGCTCTTATGGCTCATTGTTGAATGAATAATCTTTAAATGTTTTTGAAAATAAATAATCTAACCATAATCACTTCAAATTTGTGTACATAAACGATTGGCATTTTTAATAGCAATTTTTTTTTTAATAACATTACTGTTTAAATGTAAATATATCAAATTATCATAAAGTCATTAAGCTTACATGATAATAATTAGTCTACGTATGATAGAACTGAGAACTGACTGTCAGTGACAGTAAAAACTGAAATGCAAATTGAAGACGACAGTACTTCTCTAAACAAATAGAAAATGCCTGCCTAACGTGTATATTTCTCGAAGGCTTTGATATCTAAAAGTTGTCCGTTGTCTCGATAAAGAGAGCAAAACTTTCTAGACCTCCTGCAAGCATACTTTCTCAACTATATTAATTTTTCAGGTCTACCTCAGTGTTTTCGCTATTTTACTATGATATTCGAAGGCGTATGAAACGGTACTTCCGTTTGAATACAAAATTCTAATTAGCGCGCGCTCTTCGAGGAAATTGTCGCCAGCTCTGAAAATTTTAACTGCAAATCGATATTTAATATTTTTTATCTAAGAAGTTATTAAATTATTGTACGATTTTTTCAGAAGAGTATCATTGCTTTGTCATAGAATGTAAAATATAACAGAAATGAATTGCTGCTTGGTCCCGTGGGGGGAGGGGGGAGATGGATCTATTGAGGAAGCTTAGTCAGCTATTGTGATGATATTTATCTAATATTTAAGGTCTCTTTAAAGCCAATTGTTTATTGATTCAATAACTATCAATCATCTGCAATCATCAATTTATTTTAAACCTAAAATATATCAACTAAAATAT